CCCTTCCCAAGGAGTTATGCGTAGGGGATTTGTGCTACAGACATCCCACTCTGGAGACGAGTGTTATGCCACTCCCTCGTCAGAAATATTTCCAGGTCATACCAGACTCCTGGCACCTTAATTAGCTTCTCTAAAGAGTAGTCACTCCAACGAGTGGCACACTTCGATTGGTTGGCAAAGGACCAGCTGACCGCTTCACCCATTGGCACCTACCAGTCGGCTGCTGGGCAGCATCCTGAAAAGGAAAAAAAAAGAGCTTAAGACCACCATACGCCCCCGTCAACCCTCTTCCCCAGCACACAAGTGTCTCAGTGGATTTGAGCTGTACTCAACAAGCAAGTACCGCCCCAAACTCAGATCGCAAAAAAATCAGTGGATGACCCTCTAGTGACCGGTCGGCAGACTGCCTACCAGTCGGTCCTACCGGTCAGCTGTGGAACGGTCAGCTGCCGGTGTCGGCGTCAGTGGTCGGCTGGTATGAACCCCTGCTTCTCTACCTTTTCTGTCATGGTCTCGAACACTCTGAGATCGTCTGTAACTTTTTTGTGCTTGCATCCAGTGATGGAATCGGTTGTCTACCCATCTTTGGCTACTTTGCCATCTGACCAGCTAGCCACAGATCGGTGCAGAGACATTGATGCAACTACAGCTGCGTCCTTCATCCTCACATGCAATGGCACTCGAGGACGCGGGTGCTGGCCCTATAGCGCCTGACACAGGAAGTGAAGGAGTCTTTACAGAGACCTGGGATGAACCTACAGCTGAACTATGGGGTGGACACATGCCATACAAAGGGGTAAACAGCTGGGACAACGCTGATAAGCCACTTGGTCGAAAAAAAGTGATAGGGGTCCTGGTAGAGGTCATCAAGTATAGACGCATGGAGGGAACTTTTTATCCCTGAGTTAATTGTGACAGAATAGCGGTCATGCTGTCTAAGTTGGATTGGATAGAGTCTAACTCGCCCTGCACTGTGTGCATCGCCTCATAAACGCCCAATACATTTCTGGGGAGAACCTTCTCATTGAGAACACTCTGATCCAAATTCCTCAGCGCCTCTCTGTTGGCCACTCTTCCCTCTAGTAAGGTCTTTTGTTTTATGTCTCAGAAGCCTCTGCCAGTTCATTTTCCACCTGCTGTTGACGGGCAGTAGCAGCTGCCACTTCCTGACCTACTGCATTTCTTGTGCAGATGGACTGGACTGACTATGAACAGCAGCTCCAAAGGTGACACTTTGTCTAACCATTTCTGACCTTCCTTCCCTAATCTCCTCCCTTCTAAGTTGCCTCTCTCCGGGTAGTCCCAGCTTCTGGAACACTATTATTGGTCGCTGACTAGTCTGTGTCCTAGTTAGTTTGTGGTCATCGGCCTCTCACGTGAAGCGGAAACTACTACTGTTTGCACAAGGACAGCCTGTCCTGTATTTGGTGCGAGATGTCAGTGATAACCCAAAATGCCTGAGAGCATGGTACCAGCAGTTCTATAAATGCACCCAGATCTATTACAGCCAACAGTTACTCTCTAATCAGTTTTATAGAAGACAATGCAGAGCACGAATCAGTCTAGACTCTAAATGCACCCAGATCTATTCAAGCCAACAGTTACTCTCTAATCAGTTCTATAGAAGACAATGCAGAGCACCAATCAGTCTAGACTCTAGAGAGCTTACTAGCTAGTCTGTAAGTTGTCCCTAGGACATGCAGCACTATGTCCTACAACTAACCAAAGCAGAAACTGTATTTGCTACTTAGAAAAATATATGACGTTGAGAAATTGGCAGTTTCTACGAGCGGGTAAGTTGGAACCTACCCCTTTCCTCATGCTTCAGTCATTTCCCTCCCACCCCGTTAACTGACAACTGTATTGTATGTCCAAGACCAGTGACTAATAGGTAGCTAGATCCACCCCAGTGCACAGACTAATCAGCAGGTGGCCAATCCTGATCAAGGATTATTTTGACTCTCAAACATGGCGGCTTCTCATGAGAACCCAGCATGTATTATTTAGAGTCGCAACAGGACAACTTTCCTCGTCAGGCCACCCAGTCTCACTGTCTCTATCGCGCTGCTGAAGCGTGGTGTGACCTGCACATGCATGCATGGTCTGGTCCCACATCATGTGCTTCATCCAACAAGGGCACTTCCCATGCACGGCCCTTCTCCCACCAGATGCATCAGAGAAGGTTGGCTCTCAAGGGAGCGCGCTCTCAGAAATCACAATGAGATGACAGTCAAGCAAAAACAGTCTTCCTCGCGGTACGAAGAACAACTGAGGGTAGATAAGGTTAGGGATACTCGATGCTGTGCCCAACCACAGATTATCCCACCAACTGTTAGGATGCTCCATCCAATCCCTGGTCAATGCTCAGGAACCACTGACAATACAATGTTATGAACATGATTGTCCGTTGAAATTTTGTCAACGCTCACTCACAGGAACTCCCGTACACGCCCATACATGCACAGAAGGAAGGGGGAGAGGTAGTGGAGTGTCACACCGCCCAACAGAAGAAACGCAGCGGAAGACTCAGAAGGGCGAAGTGACAGAATACAAAACACAGCAGTGCTGGGCCGGCAACCGGCCGGTTGAACCGGAGCCGGACCAGGCCAGGGGGGGTGAACCAGGAAACCGGTTTTGAAAAAAAAGTGCCGGCAGATTCCGACTGCGCTCTTCAAGAGCTGTCGGAATCTGCAATAAAATTTTCAGGGTGCAATATTTTTCAGGGGGCTTCCAGAGGGGGGCAGGGGGTTCTTATTGACATATTCAGGCAACTATGGCTTGCATGGGGAGGGGTCAAGTAAGCAAGTTCACTTATCCAACCCCCCCATGGCTGGAGCACTTCGTGGAGTGTGTCATTTGATATTGATACCCCACGAGCTGAACCAGATACAATGAAAGGAGGTTCTTGCCAGAAGTTATAGCTCTTCCAGAGTATAACTCGACAGCAGAAGAGTTATGGTTCCAGCTTTCAGCTCGTGGAGGCAGAGCGTTTTCTGTTTGTTGGTTTCTACATAAGGTGAGTTATCAGTCCGGAAGTATCTTGCCTGGCAGTCTGTCCAGATACATGTAGTGGAGCAAGGTCAGAAGAATATAGCTTAGGTCCATTCTTGGGCTTGCACCTCGGACGGCTCTGACATCACGATTCCAAACTTCGAACCCAGAACTTTTTCCACAGATGTTTCCACAGATGGCAGGCACGTTGCAGAAGGATATAATCTCAGCAGAGCCTCATCACAAGCATAGTGTTCCCCTCGTGGCTGAGGGTGAAAGAGCATCAGATGTTGCCAATGGTAACTGGTCCGTCGGACCACAAGATGACAAATTGGAGAAGGGGCCTACCCGACCCACATCTTAAGAAAAACGTGTGGCGGTTCTCTGCTGCTGATCTGCAAAGATCCGCGGCGGATATCCTCTGCCCGTTTTTCTTAAGAAATGGGGTCCTGGCCGATCTTTGCCGCTGATCTGCGATGATCGGTGGCCAAGATTGGCCACTTTTTGGCCTTGAAAAATCCGGGCCTACAGGACCCGGTTTTGAAATTGCGGGGCAGGGCCCACCCCCACAAGGCCTCAGGAGCACATACGTGCCTGCAAAAAAAAAAAATCAGGCCCCAGCGAAAATGCGCTGGGGGCAACCGGGAGGGAACCGGCCCGGGCCACCGGCCGGTCCAACTGGGAGGACCGCGGATGGGGTAGGGGTCCCCGGGCCATCCGGGGACCAGCCCTGCAACACAGTGGATTCTCACCACAGAAGTCCCAACAATCATTCATAGAAGACAACCGAGATCACAGCCAGAAATCATTGAAGAGATGACAATTCAAACACAGTATTGAAATTTAGAACTGTTTATTAAACTCAGAGCATCGTTCAACTGAATAACCTCAGAATCCTTTTGCGCTGCTGTTGCATACTGTAACGTGCAGACCAGAACAAGAACCGACCTTTCAATACAAAGTATAAGATAGCGCTGCGGAAGACTTAGATACCAGTGATCCGAACAATCAATGTTGCAATGCAGGCCTGAACATACATCATCATCATCGTTACATGGTGTGAATGGGGCCTGGCGCTTCACACAGGAAGACGGCGCCAGCCCATACCATACACAGACGAAGAGGAAGGGGATAGACGAAGAGGAGGGGGAAGATGGGAATGTCGTCAACACCAASTCTTMGRCASAAGCCCAAATAGTCCCTCGTCRAAAYGTCTGAATCCCAAATGTCAAGTCTGGATCCATTGTCGTCAAGTCTCAAGTCACAACTCTGTCTCTCTCTGTCGTAGTCTGAGAAGTCAGGTGGTGAGAGGGTGAGAAGAGATGGTGGACTTAGAGGAGGAAGAAGAAGAACTCTCTCTCTCTCTGTATCCAGTACTAACCTGTGAAGTTGGTGCCTTGATGCAGGTACCTCGCAGATGGAGCTGGAGCGATGGCGCCACAGGTAAGTACTACTGGCCTCCGCCAGTGTCTCTCCCAACTCTACTATCTACCACCTACCATAGCGCCCAACGCTGAAGACCACCACTAAGGCTATGGGCGCCCAGCGCCGAAGACTACAGCTAGCGCTAACTACTACCTAGTGCTGAAGACTACTGCAGCGCTCCTCCTGAGTGTTGCTGCTGAATCCTGAAGACTACTCGTGCCTACTGGAGACTACCTACCCGTGAAGTGCCTGGGAAGTCCCTATCTACTACCACGGGTGCCTCTTGACTGCAGGCGAGCAGTCCAGGAGGCTGCTCTTGCCAATGCCGATCGGAGTCAGGGGCTGCCGCTGCAGCTCCTGCTCGAGCTCGTGAGGAACAGGCCATTTCCGCATTTCTGTTTACGTGCCTGAGTCTCAGGGGCAGGTCGAAACAATGAGGGCCTGAAAATGGCGCTCCGTTTCAGGCTGGAAAAACTCGGGTTCTGAAAGACCCAGAAATAGGCTGAAACGGAGTAGGGCCTGCAGGCCCTCGTTTTTCGGCTTTCAGGTTGAAACGACCGGGGCATGTAAGCCCTAAGTTTTAGGCTTTTAGGCTGAATGTCCAGGACGGGCCCTGCAGGGCCCGTGTGGCTACGCAGTATGCCACACCCCCCCCCTCCTTGAAGAACCGAGCTTACCTGCGAGGGCGAAGCTGTCTCTTTGAGGGAGGGACCACAGTCCGGGTGGGAGGGGCTGGTCGTGAAGCTTCCTGAGCTAACCTCCGCTTTTCATAATGCGCGTAGATCAGCGGTGCGGATGCTTTCAAATATGCGCCTGAAATCCACCGAGTGTCGTCGCGATCGCATGCTTTGAATGTGACTTTGTACTGCCGCGGCTTGCTGCCGTACTTGCGATCGGTGATGACGCGGTCAACTTCCTGATGACCATCCATAGAAGGAGGGTCCTGCGATCGTCGGCCCGGAAAGTCGTCGCTCTTGGTTGGCGTGTATGTTGCCAGCTTCGAGGCRTGGAAGACCGGATGGACCGTCAGATGCTCTGGAATGTTGATCACAAATGAAGGGCCATCGGGCTCATCGCCCGCGGCTGCTGTCACAGACCAAGGTCCAAACCACTTGGGAAGCAGTTTGCGTGAAACATCCTGTTCCAGTGCAAACTCTTCCGCGGAGACCCAAACCAGATCACCGGCGSGGATGGGACATGGTACGCGACGCCTGTTGGCTTGCTGCTGCATGCGGACTTGAGCCTTTTGCATGTTTGCGCGGGCTTGAGTCAACAATTCCCTGTACTTCCGGACAGAAGCGGGAGAGCAGGCAGCGTCAATGTCGGTTGGTCGAGGGAGGAGAAGGTCCGCGAAGATCCGGCCTTTCCGTCCACCGTGGTGCAACTCGAATGGAGTCACGCCGATCGCCGGATGCACCGAAGTGTTGTAGGCGAACTCGATGTCGCGGAGCGGTCAACCCAATCTTTCTGGTCTGGACGGATGAGCGTACAAAGCATCATTTGAGCGGTTTGATGTGCCCGCTCCGTCTGCCCGTCTGTCTGTGGATGCCGAGCCGAACTTGGTTTCATTGTTGTGCCGGACTCCTACATGAGCGCAGTCCAAAATGCTGACATGAAACGAGTGTCGCAGTCGGTGACTATGTCTTCTGGTACACCGTGGCCACAAATCCAACCAGTGTGCAAGAGGCGTGCCAGCTCGGGAGCCGTGGAGTAGTACTTGCAAGGGAGAAAACGCGCGTACTTACTCAATCGGTCCACAACCGTGAGGATGCCGTCGTGCCCGAGCCGGTCGCGAGGAAACGGACCGGTGACGTCCATGGTAATGGAGAGACCTGGTTCCCGTGGGATAGGCATCGGGTGTAAGTCGCCGTAGGGATTGCGGTTGCGGGGTTTGCTGCGTCGGCAAACTTCGCACGAGTCGCAATACCGAGTGACATCGGTAATGAGGTCAGGCCATCGGAATCGCTGTCGAAGTCGTGCAATAGTGCGGTTGACTCCGAAATGGCCGGCGAGTCGTGAATCATGATACTCGCCGAGGAGGCGAGTCCAAAGACGAMGGTCGCGTGGGACACACAGTAAGTCCTTGCCTCTCGAGTGGAGGAGCAAGTACCCGTCGGCAATGCGATAGTGGTTGGCCGGCGGGTGATCCGAAGATAGCTGTGCATACAGCGTGGCGAAGTCTGGATCAGACTCATATGCCCGGATGAAGTGTCGCTGAAGCTCCTCGTCGAATGCGAAGGCATGATGTGTCATAGCGCAAAGATCAGGTCTTCACGAGAGTGCATCTGCTGTGCGATTTGAGAGGCCGGGAAGATGTTTCGGTGTGAAGTCAAAGTGGTCGATGAAGTACATCCATCGTCCGATCGTGGTGCTCACCGTATCTTGCGTCTTGTAGTAGGTCAATGGATTGTTGTCGGCGACCCATGTGAACCTGCGATGCCCAAGGAGGAAGTGCCGCCATCGCTTGAGAGCCATGACGAACGCGAGTAGCTCCTTCTTCCTTGCATCATCAAGCGAGTTGATGGGAGGCACTTTGTGGCTGAAATACTCCACAGGGTGCCAATCGTCGTCGTCGTGCTGTTTCAAGACTGCCCCAATGCCGTAGCCGAAAGCGTCCGTAGTCACTCTCGTCGGCAAGGTGGGGTCATAGATTCTAAGGACGGGTGCCATGAGTATAGCCGTCTTAAATGCTTGGAATGACCGGCGTGCGTTGTCATCGAATACGAATGGTACCTTTGGCGATTGTAACCTCGTCATAGGTGCAACAATCCTGGAGTATCCGGTAATGAATCGTTGATAGTAGCCCGACAATCCCATGAATGAACGAACGTCCGTGGTGTTGGTGGGCTCGGGCCATACTCGTAGGGCCTCGATCTTGTCCGCTAGCGGACATATGCCTTGCGGCATCACATAATGGCCCAAGTACTCCAGCTCCTGCCGCTCCAAAACGGTGCGCAGGTGTTCCACATGCTCCTCCAAACTCCGGCTGTAGACCAGAATGTCGTCGAGGTAGATAAGTACGAAACGATCTAGCATGTGTCGGAACTCCGTTGTCATAGTCGCTTGGAAAGTGGCTGGGGCATTCGTAAGGCCAAATGGCATAACCAACCATTCGAAATGCCCATATCACGTCTTAAACGCGGTCTTGTAACGGTCCTCCTTGCGAATCTCGAGTTGGTGATATCCCGACTTGAGGTCCAGCTTGGAGAAAAACTTGGCGCCGCCCAGTCGCTCGAGAAGGTCGTCGATGCGTGGGAGAGGGCCGGCGTTCCTGATCGTCTGCGCGTTGAGCTTGCGATAATCGATGCACAACCGCAGGTCCTTGTTCTTCTTCCGGACGAAGAG